TACTCAACTTTTTTTTACCAAAATGATCAGAAAAAACAGCTCTACAAAACTTGAGGAAAAAGAAAATTTTTTAAATACTTTGTGTTTTTTGTGGTTGACTTCCCATGGAATAGGCCTATGATACTGCTTTTCAAATAATGGATATGATATCTCTAAAAAATATTTTAAGTATTTTATCTAAATGGGAATTCTTATTTACAAAAATAAAAAATTATGAAATTATAAATAATAATACTAATACATCAGAAAATCTTATTGTTGAAACTATTAAAAAAGTAACGCCTTATTCGTATATGTTAGAATCAATCATTCTTAAGATTAGAGAAACTAGAAACAAATTGATTAATCAAGAGCTGATTAATGATAATACGAAAGGATTCACTAAAAGTCGAGATCAATTTTATTTTGAACTGAACGAAAATTTTTGTATTATAAGTCAGATTAATATTTTTAACAATTTTGATATAGATATTGATGTAAATGTGATTGAAAATGAATGTAGAGAATCGTTAGAAAGAAAAATTACAGAAATATTTTCTTTAGCTATGAAATTTTTGGAAAAAATTTTCAATAATGATGAATTGACAAGACAAGATTATGATTCTTTTAATATGTATTATAGTAATTTAAAATCTTTTAAACAAGAAATGAAAGTAACATGTTTCATGATTGATAAAAAAATTGAGCAAATTGATCAAATGTTTTTTCAACAAATTCGTTCATGGGAATTATTGACTGAACAGAATCCAACAGTTCCATTTATTGCTGAGGTTTTAATAAAAATGAAGTGTATTTCAAATAATGTTCTTTCATTTGAAGTCAGAATTAATGAGAAAATAAATGAAATACTAAAGCATTTTAGAAATACAACAAAATGTTCGGGAGGTTTTGCGAAATTAGCTACACTTTTAAATCAAGATAATAGTGGTACAGGTCAAATTATTATATCAGAACATAAATTATTTCAAGGTTTTTCATTATCATTGTTCAATCAAAAAATTCGAAGACATGATATAACAACTGTACTAGACAATTTAAAGGGTGATGCTATTGACGGCCAGAAATTAAAAGACAGATATGTTGAATTCGAAAATATTTACCGAAATTTAATCAAACAATATCTTAAGCCAAATATTGAGCTAAGGACACTAACTTCTGAAATTAAACGAATTGCTGGAAATATCATACAGAAAACAAATAATACTGTATGGGAAGCAACTATAAGAAATAAAGTTCCAATTTTGATGGCACATATTTTTGCTTTGTGGACATTGACGAATGCAGATCATTACTTTGATGCTGTAGATACAGAAGATAAACATAATTATCTTCTTCAACCTCATACAGCTCAAATCGTTTCAATATTTCGTATGCTCGGAATTGGTGATAGAAATGAAGAATTGAGCAACAATTTAGTAGAAATAGGAACTGGTGAAGGAAAATCTATTACTTTAGGTGTTACAGCTTCTATACTTGCATTACTCGGTTTTGATGTAAGTTGTGCATGTTATAGTCAATATTTAAGTCAAAGAGATTATCAAGCATTTTTACCATTATTTGATTTATTAGATTTATCGAACTATATTCATTATGGTACTTTTAATAAACTATGCGAAGATACGATAAATGAAAATGGTGAAATTCGTCAATTAGTAGAACGATTAATTACTGAAGGTTCTATTAATATGATGAAAAATAATCAACATATCAAACGTTGTAAAATTCTATTAATTGATGAAGTAGATGTTTTTTTTAATCGGGAATTCTATGGAAATATTTATACACCAGCAGCTAGTTTAAGAGATCCAACAATAACATCATTAGTCTATTTTATTTGGAAAGAAAGACAATCAAATTTAACGTGGCGTAAAATAAAGGATACAGATGAATATAAAAGTTGTTGTAAGAAATTTTCTAGTTGGGAACCATTAATTCTAGAAGCAATAAAGGATATGCTTTCTGATGTAAAAAGTTTTGAATCACATGATTATGTTGTTAATCAAGATAAAATTGGATATTTTGAGCAAGGTAACATTGTTTATAATATTGCTTATGGTTACAAAACATTATTTGCATATTATTATGAACATGAAAAGGGTAGAATAAGCAAAGAAAGTGTAGAAAAAAATACCAATATAAAAATAAAATGTGGTAGTTTTTCATATGCTGAAATACCACTTGAATTTAAATATATAATGGGTGTTACGGGTACATTAAAAACATTAAATGATTCTGAAAAACGCATTATACAAGGTCTGTATAAAATTAGGAAAAATACATTTATTCCATCTGTATATGGTGTAAATAATCTTAAATTTATAGCAAAAGATGATATTATGATTGAAAATAATCATGATTATTTTAATACTATAAAACGAGAAATTACTGATAGATTAGTTGGAAGATCATCAGAAAAACGTGCTGTACTGGTTATATTTGAATCTAAACATAAATTAAAAGAATTTTATGAATCAGAAGCTTTAGAACCAATAAAAGAATTAGTTGGTTGTCTAACAGAAGAAGCATCATTAGAAGAAAAAGAGAGTCTAATTAAACGTGCAACCTCATCTGGTCAAATAACTTTACTTCCGAAAATCTTTGGTAGAGGATGTGACTTTCTATGTCATGATCAAAATGTTGCTAGAAATGGTGGTGTTCATGTTATTCAAACATTTCTTTCTGAAGAAGTATCCGAAGAAGTACAAATAAAAGGTAGAACAGCTAGACAAGGTGATCAAGGATCTTACAGTATGGTTCTTCTTTATAGTGATTTAGAAAAATTTTTTATTGCAGAGAAAGATATTGATTCTGTTAATAGAGGTACTCAGAACTCAAATATGTATAAGACAGTGTATGATCTGCTTAATAGAAAACGTATTGATTTATTTAAAACACAGTATGAAACTAATATGGAATATGTTAAACAAGCAAAAGATAGACATAAAATTGCTCGAAAATTTTTATCAGCTCTTCATTCTGGAGATATAGATTCGGTCAAAGGTTTTTTGATCGAAGAAAATAAAGGTATAGCAGATACTCTGAACTCACGAACTATTTGTTTAATGGATGCAACGGGTTCAATGTCTCATCTGTTACATAAATGTAAAAACACAGTAGATATTATGTTTGAACGTGCTTCAGAAATTCTACAAGATAATAATATAAATTCAGATTCATTTCAACTTCAGCTTGTTCTCTATCGAAATTATAATAGTCGAGAAAATAAAATCCTTCAATATTCACCTTGGGAAACTAAGCCAGATAATTTACGTACTTTTATGAATACTATCAATGTTGAAGGAGGTTGGGGTAACGAGGCTATTGAAATTGGTTTCTGGCATGCTAATAAAGAACATGAGAAAGAGAATATTACACAAATTATTTTGATAGGAGACGCATCTCCAAATACAAAAGACGATATAGTTCAGAAAAGAGAGTGCTTTGGAGAAAACTATTGGCAAACAACAAAATTTTCACAACCAACCTATTATGAAGATGAGTTAGCAAAATTGATATCGAACAACATACCGGTACATGCTTTTTTTGTACAACCTATGGCAGAAGAAAAGTTTAATGAGATCGCTACACGAACAGGAGGACGATGCAAAAAGTTAGACATAAATTCTACTGATGGCGCAAAAATGTTGACAGATTTTGTAACTCTAGAGATTCTAAGAAATGTTGGAAGAAATTCCAATGGAGATGCACTTGCTGCAGCATACGAAAATAGATTTGGGAAAGTCTATGCTTAAAACATAGTCTTTTACACATAAAACAAAATTTTTTAAATACGGTTAAATCTTAATATTAAATACATGAAATTTCCTGTTCTGTTTGACTGTTTACTTCTACTGATTCTTTTGCTCCATGTATGATTATTTCATATATATTAATTCAAATTGTATTTGCTATTTTTTTTGGAATGTACTTCTATGTTTATGTTTTTTCTTCTATCAATCCTGCTTGTGTTTCATTTTATTTTTCTTACTATGGAATAAAGTATTTTTAATACTTCAAATTATAATTCTAAGGTGTACGTAGGTAAAGTTAGCCTCATATTCGAGTAAATCCAGCCAAGATTCGGCGCCAGAGCTGCTCTAGCTGCGCCAGACAGCACCAGTATGCAACTCGACGAGCTCTATCCAATGGTCACTTTGGATTTTTCGTAGCTTTAACCAATCGTGCAAAATCCCAAAATCCTAGGTTTTTCCCAGGTAAATTTTACCTTATAGACAGTAAATCCAGCCAAGATTCGGCGTCAGAGTTGCCCTAGCTGCACCAGACAGCACTAATATGCAACTCGACGAGCTCCATCCAATGGTCACTTTGGATTTTTCCTAGCTTTAACCATTCGTGCAAAAATCCCAAAATCCTAGGTTTTTCCTCGCATACGGATAGTAAATCCAGCCAAGATTCGGCGCCAGAGCTGCCCTAGCTGCGCCAGACAGCACTAATACGCAACTCGACGAGCTCTATCCAATGGTGACTTTGGATTTTTCGTAGCTTCAACCAATCGTGCAAAAATCTTCAAATCCTTGTTTTTTCCCAGGCAAGTATCACTTTATGGATAGTATATCCAGCAAAGATTCAGCGCCAGAGCTGCCCTAGCTGCGCCAGACAGCACTAATATACAACTTGACGAGCTCTATCCAATGGCGCCTTTGGATTTTTCCTAGCTTTAACCATCCGTGCAAAAATCTAAAAGTCCTAGGTTTTTCCTCGCATACGGATAGTAAATCCAGCCAAGATTCGGCGCCAGAGCTGCTCTAGCTGCGCCAGACAGCGCCAGTATGCAACTCGACGAGCTCTATCCAATGGTCACTTTGGATTTTTCGTAGCTTTAACCAATCGTGCAAAAATCCCAAAATCCTAGCTTTTCCCAGGCAAATATCACTTTCCGGATAGTAAATCCAGACAAGATTCGGCGCCAGAGCAGCACCAGCTGCGCCAGACATCACCAATACACAACTCGAGGAGCTCTATTCATTGGCAACTTTTGATTTCTCCTAGCATAAACCATTCGCGCAAAAATCTCAAAATACTAGTTGTTTCCTATGTAAATCGCACAATATTGATTAATAAATTAGTATTTTCCAATTTTTCCGCGAATAGTTTCAGCCACGCAGAATCCAACGTTAGCCATCGATAGAACACATCCAGTGCTACTGTGGAACAGCCTGGAGCAGCTTCCATGAAGAATATCGGCTAGATTTACTAGCCATATGTTAAGATTTACATAGGAAAAACTAGTATTTCATGATTTTCTCACGAATAGTTCAAGTTAGGGAAAATCCAAAGTCACCAATAGATAGAGCTCGTCGAGTTGCATACTGGCGCTGTCTGGCGCAGCTAGGGCAGCTCTTGCGCTGAATCTTGGCTGGATTTACTATCCATAAAGTGATATTTGTCTGGGAAAAACCAAGGATTTTCAGATTTTTGCAACATTGGTTAGTGCTACGAAAAATCCAAAGTCATCATTGGATAGAGCTCGTCAAGTTGCATATTAGTGCTGTCTGGCGCAGCTAGGGCAGCTCTAGCGCTGAATCTTGGCTGAATTTACTATCCATAAGGTGATATTTGCCTGTGAAAAACCAAGGATTTTGAGATTTTTGCACGATTGGTAAAAGCTACGAAAAATCCAAAGTCAGCATTGGATAGAGCTCGTCAAGTTGCATATTAGTGCAGTCTGGCGCAGCTAGAGCAACTCTGGCGCCGAATGTTGGCTGGATTTACTGTGTATAAGGTAAAATTTACCTCGGAAAAACCTAGGATTTTGGGATTTTTGCACGATTGGTTAAAGCTACGAAAAATCCAAAGTGACCATTGGATAGAGCTTGTCGTGTTGCGTACTGGTGCTGTCTGGGGCAGCTAGAGCAGCTCTGGCGCCGAATCTTGACTGGATTTACTCGAATATGAGGCTAACTTCACCTACGTCTAAGGTGTGGAGTGTGGGAACAAGTGATGAAAAGATAAGCACCCACACCGGCACTTACACACCGACATCCACCCACACTCACACCCTATCCGAGAGGCGTTTCTGAAATTGACGAAATGCTATAAATTAGACAGCAGTATTTTCGTCATTTCATCTTGTTGTAACAAACTTCATAGCACAGGTGAGATCATCTATACATCATAGAAAAAAAAATGAAACTTCAGAATAAATCTTCATCAGAGAGTATATGGTTTCTAAACATTTTGGATTATCAAGTATATTTTAATTGATCCCTGTTCTCTAAAAAAAACGTCTAGTTGTTCTGAGGGGTATGCATCCTCCGCTTACTAGCTTTTTTTATAATTTTCTATCAAGAAGATGTTTCCGAGTTATAAACTACTAAAATATATATTTTTTTCTGTCAATATTTGACATATATGTATATGTGGGGTTCATTACAAGCAAACAGTGAACTTTTCTTTAAAAGTCTTAAGATTTTACATTTAAATAACTTACACACTGAGGGTGTGGGTGTGGGTGTGCGTATGTAATAGGGTGGAATGTGGATGGTGTGGGTGAAGAAGATACGACCATATACGTTCACAACACATCCACACCCATCCACATCAACCCACACCCACACCCACATCTTCACCCGCACACCCCACTCTCAAGAAAAGCGATTTTAAAGTTCAAAATGAATTATGTTATTTTAAAATGAAATAGTGAAGGAAGTAAAGATCACACGACAGAGATAAATATCCTCTTTCAGCACGATTGTACAGTTGAAAAACTATTGCTCATTTCAAAAAAGAACCTGCGTGAGTATTTTTTGAAAGACTTCTGAAAGGATTGAGTTAGAGGGTCGCGGTTTTCACCATTTGAAAGAGGAGGTGAAGATGCATCGAACCATATATACAAATATTTTTCAGACTGCTTTTCTAACAGTTGTACATAGAGCTTCTAGAAGAACAGCATGCCGCTCGTGATCACGATATTGTTTTGTTGATTTTCAAGAGTGTCAGCACCGCTAGATGAAGCGCTACAAAACTATATAAACATTCTATTCTTAACCACTATCTGTAAGATATCCTAGCCATTGAAATGCAATTCATCATCCCATTTTTTCAACAAAATAATCAAAAAAAGTCGAGTTGGGGTGTGGGTGTGTGTATGTAGTAGGGTGGAATGTGGATGATGTGGGTGAAGAAGATACGACCGCATAGGTCCACCCACACACTAACACTCGGAAAAGTAACTGGTCACGGTCCCGTTACCGTTACTTGGGGAACTGGTAACGGGACCGTTACCCCGGAAGGATAACGTTAACTTCCCATCCCTTCACCCACACCCACACCCACCCACACTTACACCCACACCATCCGCATTCCACCCTACTACATACACACACCCACACCCCAACTCGACTTTTTTTGATTATTTTGTTGAAACAATGGGATGATGAATTG